AACATATGGCAGACATGCTTGGCTGTCAGATAAGGACCTGGAGACCCTCTGCTTCCCTCAGCTCTGTCCTCCTCTTCCACACAGCTGTCATTTTCCAACAGATGTGCATTGTTCTCCCTCATGTGATGTCTGACCTACGCTGAGCCTCTGGGAAAGCTGAAATAGAAGAAGCCTGGTCACTTCCCTCTCTCTCTCTCTCTTTCCTTTTTATGAAATATGTAGCTATCCCTAAGTAGATTCAAGTTGAAATATGATTATCACCAAATCTATAGGGGATAAAGTGCCTTGTCCTCAAGTGGAAACACAGCCCAACCTCCAACCTCTGTCCTGGACCGTCCAGCCCCAGGCACTGCCCCACACACACCCCATGTCCTCCTACATGTCTCACTAAATACGCGTATATTTGCTTCTTCTAAGACACTCAGTTTCCAGCCATTCGCTGCAGTGGCAACAGGAATGGGGAGCACCACATAAAAAATACCTAAAATATGGAAGGACTTTTGGAATTGGATAACAGGTAGAATTTAGAAAAAAAAAAGAGAAACATTATAGAAAAACCCAGACTGTTTGTGTGATCATGCTGTTAGTAGAAATGAGGATGTTGAAAGCTCTTCTGGGGGTCAGTAGGAAGGGAGGAGCATGGCCAGGGACAGCTGCATTGAGGCAGGGAGCACCCAGTGCTGTACAGACAAATTGATGGTGAAATACTGCTGCTAATGCTGTGCCTGGTCCACTGCGGGGAGCTCACGAAGATTCAGGAACACAGGTTTAGAGACTGGCAGCATGGGGATCATCGTCACATAGTGGCAGGAAGCCAAGCTTTAGTATGTGGTGAGGTTGGTTAGGAAACAAAACTGGTGAGTGATGGACCTGGATATGCAGTAGTGACGGTGCACCCTGAACTGTTCTTACAACATACAGCAAAATTTTTTGAACGAAATATGTAAATTGAGGAAAGAAGTCTTAAACAGGGAAACCAAGGCATGATAATTTGGAAATTAACAGTGCATTCTGCCATTTACTTGCTTACTCCCCCTTTCTCCGGAGACCCAAAGGTAACCATCACTACCCTCCATGATTTTCCACCCTTGTATAGGATGTGGTCCTGCTTCCCACATGAGGGATGGACATGTCATTGGGTCTATTCTTTGAGGGACTTGAAGTTTCCATTCCTCACACTGGTATCTTGAAATACAAATTTATGATCCTCATTCACCTGAAGTGTACACATGGGAAGAGGGGAACAGATGTAAGAGTCCTTAGCTCTGTGATTTTACCCCCAACCTCTGAGAGCCTCATTTCATGGCAGATTCTGCAAAGATTACAGTGCTCTCCCCACTGATGATGAAATTCAAAGGATGCATCAAATGTGAAATCTATGTCAGTAAATGTTTCTCCCAGCAAAGTTCACAGCTAAATCGCTGCCCCCTGTGGCTGCCTCTCCTGGCCCCCTGTGTTTTTCAGCAAAGCATCCCCTCTGCACCATTCCCTCTGACACTGTGGGCCCAACAAGCAGGACAGTAAGCGGCCACCTGCTGGGTCCTCTTTTGAATAGTCTCTGGGTGACACATACAGGTGTCTGTGCTAGCTCATGCCTGGCTGTTCTGGCCCAACCCAGGCCGGATACCTCTCTGTATGTCCATTCCATCCCATCAGTTACAAGAGGCAGCTATTGGGACAACACACCTTGAAATCCGGTCTAGGAAAAACATAGTCTATTTGGTGGGAAGACCCCAGAGATGTCCCTCCCTTATCCTTTGAGCTATGCTCCTTAAACTCCACTGTGTAATTTTTATATGCACTGAACTTTACCTGGAAATGATGACCATAAAAGGGGGGAAAGGGAAATTTGAATGTGCAGACTAAGAAGGCTCCCAGAGTTTCTGGCCATCACACAACTGCACTGTGGTGGACAGGTGGTATTTCCAATGCTACTGCCTCCAACATCAGGCCTTGGACCCTCCAATCCATGCTCTCTGAGAATGTACCATATGTGGCACAAGATGCTCTTAATGATTTCTGACTGCTGGTGTTTGTGCCCTTGTACTTACTGAGCAGGGATAACACTTGAAATTCAGAGAATATTGAGGAGAAGACCGAGTTTTATTTCTCATGTGAGCTCATAATAGTGTTTGTGTCTTAGATCCAGCTCTCTCAGATCATTCGCTCTGAGGAAATCCAGTTTCATGAGGTCTCTCAGGAAGCAAGTCCTGTATCAAAGAACTGAGGTCTCCTGACATCTGTCTTGTGACCCAGTGAGTGTGAGAGTTGATTTTCCAGCTGACATCAAGCTGTCTGATGTCTGTAGTTACGTCTGAAATTCTACTGTCAACTCACGAGGAAATCTGAGCCAGAGTCATTGTGCTAAGCTGACTACAAATTCCTGACACGTGGAAACTGTGAGATCACACCTGTGCACAGTTTTAAGCTGCTAAATTTCAGAGCATTAGATGTGAAGTAATAGACACCGGACATCCAGAGAGGAGGGTGCCTATGTGTGTGTGTGGCAGGGAGGGGCTGCCTTGGTGTCTGCCTTAGTGAAATGTGAAGGGACCATGACAAGTGCCTGGCCCACTTATGATTCCAGTGGACTGTCTACTGAATCTGCTCTTTTTCTTTTAATCAATGGCTCAAATATTAGCATCCTATAGGAATTCTGCACATTTATTGTGTTTTATCAATGTTCCTTATGTAAACATTTGAATACAAACTAATCAAAGGATGACATGCATTGTGTCTTCCAAATCCTGATCTTTCAAAAGGGAATTGCTCAGATTGAGAGGCCCAATCTTCTTTGTTGTCTTTGCTATTCACCTGCCAGACTCTGTCAAAAGTAGAATCACCTGAGAATTCTCCTCTGTTCCTTTGAGGAGTAAGGGGTACCAGTGCGTACTCTTGAGTCTTTCAATAAAAAAATGAGCTGATGATTTTACAGGTTGTGTTAGGCCTACTGGGCCTAGGCTAAGGCAGAAAAGTGTCAGGCTTAGGCTATAATGGAAAAATACCAGTTAATTTCTGGCAAATTTCTAGATTGTAAGCTTTCAAAAAAAAATGAAATAAGTCTAGTTCACTCCCAAGATAGATGGGAAAGTACTAATTAATTTCTTGCTTCTAGTTCATTCCACATTTCTTGCTTGGCTAACTCCCTGGGAAACAGACTGGGAGGTACCAACTGTTCCCAGACTGACTTTTAAACAATACCAGGTGAGGAAAGTCCTGCAACTAAGATGTATAGGGGGAAAATATTAAAACAAAAATGTATGGCTAACTAACCGCAAAATTCTGCTTCTGTACAATGCTTACTTGCTACCCTACCCAGATGCACCTGGACAGCCTGTGTGCCAACCAGGATACAGACCAAGCCTTAAAAACCCAACCCCTTAAACACTCAGGGCTGCTCTCAAAAACCCCATGTTGGGACACTGAGGCAGTCGCCGGCTGGCTGTTCAATAAAGGATTCTTCTGTTATTTCAGCTAGGGTGATGGCGTGGTCTTTGGGAATTCCTGGGCATAACAGTAAGGCCTTTATTAGAAATTAGATGAATATAAAAAATAACAGGTTCAAATTCTGTAGAGCCAATGATTGAAGTTTCCAACCACAATTTAGAAGAGACGTTCATCTCTTGTTTCACTCATAAGGTGAAGTCGATTGGAGATTGTCTGAAGAAGGAGCATTTTCACACTCTTCATTGTATGTGGCATTACAAACTCTCTTAAAGCTGGGGAAGCAAAAAGAGAGGAAGGAAGAGAGAGCCCCATGCCATTAGGAAGTCATACCCCAAAGACATCACTGATCCCTACGTGGTTGCCCAGGAGGCTAAGGGAAACTAATGAAGTTAAATTCACATTTCCAAGACAAAACCTGCTGTCATCACTGGGGCATCTCTCTTCTCCCATCTCCCACCCATTCTCCTTTCCCCTAATTTACTCACAGTGGGCTTCATGATTCTCCCCTTCCTATTCTCATGCCTGGAAATCCACTGAGTTTTAAGACTCATTTCATAAATATTAATTCATAATTTTTTTTCATGTATGGATGCATGTTCCAAAGTCCCAAGACAAGATATCATGCATCCTTTTGTTCCAGCTGTGCTGACTTGTTTATGCACAGTGCTGCGATGGTGGGACCAAGGTCATCTGCAGCCAGAGGAGCAGCAACGCATGGATGCACAGTGTGACCTGGCCACAGCACCGCCTCACCCCCAAACCAGGAGGTCCTTGAAGTGAGAAGTTCTGTCATTCTCAACACCCCACAGTATGACACGTCTGAACCTTTGTACTTACATAGTACTCCATCTTCTAGAAGGGGCACCTATCTCATCTGGAAATAGTGTTTTCTCCATTTGCCCCTCAGCAAGAGCCCACTCTCCACTGAGACCCAGGGTGCAGTTGCCTCCTTCCCTGGTCCCCGGAGTAGGGGCTGCTCAGGGCTTTGCCTCCAAATCTCTCTGCATCCTCCCCTCACTGCAGCTTCCAACATTGGACAGTCATCGTATCTCCCACATGGCCTCTCCTAGTGATTCAGACTCCTCGCTGTAAAGGCTGATTATGACTATCAGTTTCAGGACATAGCAGGGTTGTGACCCTGGACTCTGTGGACTGACAATGACCAGGCTCTCAGGAGAGTCTACTCACGTGACTCCTACTGAAAGACTGCAGTCTGTGCAGTGAGCAGCAGGGGGCGCTGTGGTTCTTCCCAGGGTCTGCACAGGGGACGCCCACAGCTGCCAGCTCCCCAAACTGCCTAGGGCTAGGGCCATGGAGGCTGGCACAGACCCTGCAGCTGTGTCCTCTCAGTGTGATTTCCCAGCACCTGCCTCCTCCCAGGTCCTGCCTGACAGACTACCCCCCTCCACCAGCCCCCAGGTCCTCAACAAATGCATGCTGCTGGGAGGAGCAGGCAGTGGGCAGGACACATTTGCATCCATAACCCCTCCCCTGTGATCCGGTGGGGGGATAAGAGAGGCCTGGGATCCCACTTCTGCTCTGGAACTCGGGGGAACCGCGTACATCATGGCCTGGGCCCCTCTCCTCCTGCTTCTGCTCTGCTACTTCTCAGGTAGGGATGGGCCTCCACGTCCTGGAGTGGTCCCCTGTAGTCAGTCCCCTCTGGCTCATGTCTCTACACAGCTCCATTTTTGCCCCTGGTTTCTCAACCATGAACATCTGTGTTTGCAGGTTCCCTCTCCCAGCCTGTGCTGACTCAGCCGCCCTCCCTCTCTGCCTCTCCTGGAGCATCAGCCAGAATCACCTGCACCCTGAGCAGTGGCTTTGTTGTTAGCGGCTATCACATGTCCTGGTACCAGCAGAGGCCAGGGAGTCCTCCCCGGTATCTCCTGAGATTCAAGTCTGACTCAGATAAGCACCAGGGCTCCGGGGTCCCCAGCCGCTTCTCTGGATCCAAAGATGCCTCAGCCAATGCAGGGATCCTGCACATCTCTGGGCTGCAGGCCGACGATGAGGCTGACTATTACTGTTGCACATATCATGGTAACACTAACACTTACACAGTGCTCCAGACACAGGGGGAAGTGATACTAAAACCTCCCCTGTGTTCTCCCTGCCTGGCGCAGACACTGCTGTCCTGCCTGGGGCTGAATCAAGCTAAGGATTGACTTATGTTATTACTTTGTCCACCAGCACTACCTAAGATTCCCAGGAATTATGCATGTGGAAATGCAAGGTTTTCTTGTCATTGTTGTTGCCATAAAATGTCAGTTTTATCTATTGCTATTATCCTCACACATTTATTATGTCTACAGTTGGGTGGTTCTTTTTTTGTTTGTTTGTTTGTTTGTTTGTTTTGGGGGGGGACAGAGTCTCACTCTGTCGCCCTGGGTAGACAGGGCTATTTATAAATAGCCCAATAAGCGGTATTATAGCATTATAGCTCACAGCAACTCAAACTCTTGTGGCTCAAGTGATTCTCTTGCCTCAGTCAGGTCTCAAACTCCTGAGATCAAGCAATCCACCCTCCTCCACCTCCCAGATTGCTAGGATTACCAGCATGAGCCACCACGCCTGACCAGTAAACAGTTATCAGAGCAAAGATTCCCTCCAGGGTGCTTATGGTTGACTAAGAACATGGTTGAGCCCACACACGCTGTCTCAGTCCTCTTTCATCTGTTATATAAAAAAAATACCACTAATTGGGCTATTTACAAAGAATAAATGTTGAGGCAAGAGGATAGCTTGAGCCCAGAAGTTTGAGATTGCTGTGAGCTATGATGCCATAGCACTCTACTGGGAGCAAGAAAGACTTTTGTCTCAAAAAAAAAAAGAATAAATGTTTATTCAGTTCAGAGTTTGGAGTCTGTAAAGTCCAAGGGCATGATGCTGGCATCTGTTAAGGGCCTTCCTGTTACATTGTCCCATGGTTAACAGGTGAGCAAGAGTGGAGGAGAGAGAGAATCTGGTTGAACTTCATCCTTTCATCCGAATCCTACTTCTGCAAACATCACCTGAGTTCAACACGAAGGCATTGATCCATTCATGAAGACAGAGCCCTGGTGACATCATCACCTTTAAAGTCCACAGCTCTGGATACTATTATAGTGACAATTCAGTTTCAATGTGACTTTTGGAAGGGACATTCACACTATGCCATATGTGCAGCCCAGGGTATGACTCTGGCTCTAGTACCTGTGTGGGCTGAGTAACCCTGGTCAGTCACTGGATCCTGAACCCCAGGCCAAGATCCACTCACCAGCTCCAGGATGGAGGTCACTTTCCCCTGCTCCTGGTCATTCCACTCTGTTCTAGTAGCTGTTCCTCTCTTCTAAGGCTCTCTTCTAAGCCTCAGTGCCTCAAAGGGTTCTGGGAAAACAGAATTTTTTGCACAGTGAGATATGAGTGTGTCTGTGATTCTCCCCCCCACCCCCCCAGTGTGCACAGGACACCAGCATTAGTCTTCTTCCCCTACTGAGTCAGGTCCTGTAATAACCACCTCTGTATCTCAAGATCATCTGTTACTCTTGCCAAGACTTCACTGTGGTGGAGAGACACCCAAGGGTTAAAGACACTAAAATAAAACAAATCCACTCTCAAAAATGCATGAAAGGGGATCAGAGTTACATAGGAGAGCTGAGTCCCCATTCTGGTGTGTCTGGAAGTACCTCTCAGACACCTTCTCTGGCCTGGCATCCCCTCAAAATCCTGCTCTCTGCATAGGAGTGGGGGGTTGGAATCAGCTCAGCAGGAACAACTTCCTCTCTTTCTATCATCCCCTGGTCGAGGGTGGGGGCTCTGTACTGGCTTCAAATAATAGTGATTGTGAGCAGCACAATCTCTGGGTGACTCAAAGGTCTGTTTCATGGTGTCCTAGCCTGGACTAACCTGGATTGACCTCTGTTCCTCCTGCAGTGACCTCAGCCCATTGATCCAGGGTCAGCTGTGCCTCTCCCCTGGGCAGCTGCTGACTCTTCTCTTCAAATCTCCTCTTATTCCCTCTAACCTCTCAGTGTAATAAAAGACAGACCTTCAAAGGATGCTTATCCTGGAATGTAATCCCAGGTCCACCTCACAGCCTGGCCCAGCCCTCCTGTGCTCCTTGTGAGGTGCACGAGAGGTGGAAGAGCCGTGAGTCTTGCTGATCCTGTTCTTGGACATGTCCCCAATGAAGCCTGATTGGTGCTTACACCGCCGGACATTGTGATGTTTTCATTTGTGGGCAATGCCTAATGAGGACAATGGGCCTCCTGAATGTGCATGTTTGGAAGCCTCGACCAGTGGAGGTGTCATCTGTGTGGGAGGCCTAGTGTTGGTGGACATCTTGCTTGGCTGGGGTTGTCACTGAGCAGAAAGTGATGGAGTTAGGTTAAGTATCACAGATGCCCTAGACTCGTAAGGATGCTGAAAACTTTGGGTAGAGATCAGTCGTCATCTCTTTGATCCAACTCACTATTGTGGAAGTTCTTTTGTGCCCCCAGCAAAGCACTATCTTCGTAGATGGAGTGGCCTTCTTATTTGAAGGCTGTTCTCAGGCAATGTCTTGATCAAGTGATCACTGTGGGTGTGTTGAGCTTTATGCTGTCATAAAAGGGACTCTCTGGAAACTAAATGCAACCCCTTCAGGCTGTCATCCTTTTGAAATACTTACTTGTCACCGAGTCATATAACTGTTATGGGAAGGAAATCCTCATGGCCCTGACAAGAGTACAGCCATTATTGGAGACAGCCAGTGAGAAAATGCAGGCCAGAAACCAAACTGCATGATCACAGCAAACCCCCTGTTCACCCCCAAGAATGCTTTAAGGCCGGTGTTCCTGGGAAACAACAGAACAGTAACTTTTACTCTGGCCCAGCTGGCGGCCAATGAAGGGAATAACTCTTAGATTCTCCCTAAGTGAAAAATTAATCCCTCTGGCGAATGAGTGACCCCCTGGGGAGCCCCCTCTCATGTTCACCCCTACTGACAAGGGATGATAAGACCTTTTGAGACTGTGTGACAGTGAGCTGACTCCTGGTCAGACTGCACTCTGCTCGATTTATCTCCTTTCTCGGCTAATAAAACCTTTCTGATCTCTGGACTGGCCTCCTCTCCTTCTTGTGGAACATTCCTCCGATACTACCCTTGAATGCCTCAAGTGTCCTGTTTGGGAGGGTACATTTCCCTCCACTTCAGCCTTTGCCTGGATTGAGGAACAGAGATGGGGTTGATACAGGGGTGACTCCTGCTGGAGAAAGTTTCTGACTTTGATCCTCAGCCTGAGAGTCTGGGGGATGGGGTAGACTCTGGGGTGTTCCTATTCCTCGTCCCAGAGTTGAGGGATCAGAAAAGTGGATCACATTTTCTACCAGGGCTGAAATGAGTCATCATAATATCCTTCCTGTAATTATAGTTGTGTATGGTAAAATAATTTCTCTGTTGAGAGTTTTAACATGGGTGCATTGTTACAAGTTATTTAATTATAATTATAAATTATATGATCATCTTATATAGGACATCAGAAGGCTGCTGAATTATTAAAACTCAATGGAATCAGGAGTTTGAAGGGAAAGAGTTTGAAATTTTCTTTCCAAGTGATTATTCACTGTGGGAATTTCCTTAATGGCATGTTTTTACCAAGAGTGAGTCACTGTCCAGGTCACAGAAAATAGCAGTAAAGAAAATCTAACATTAAATGCTTACAAAGGGGAATGTGTTTCATTTCTTATAAAGGCAGAATGAAACTGAATACAGAAAACCAATAAACAAAATGCAGATACTATTTCAGATCTATTGGCAAAAACTCCAAAGACTCATAATATAATATCCAACATGTCTTAGGTAAAATTAAAAATCACTTGTTGTAAAAAGAACCAGAAAAAAATATCACAGCTTGAATGATAACAGACTGTTCACAATACGAGATGATGTAGGTGATAAAACTGTATGCTAGGTATATCTAAGCCAGCAATCACAGACTTCCTTTGATGAGCTATTTCACATATTCATGAAACAAATACAAAAAGAAAATATCCGAAAAAGTAGATGTCACAAAAACAGATTAAATTAAATTGTAAAACCAAAAAAGTTATGGAAACTGAAAAAAAAAAACTCTTCGGAAAGACTCAAAAGAAAGTAACTATGAAATTAAAATTCAGACAATTACTGAAGGTATTTAATGCAACTAGGACACAAAGTAGGAGCCATAGTTATCACATCCCTGCAGGGGGCGCTGTGCACCCTCTCCAAGCTGAGCAAAGCCTGATGCAAACTCCCCTAACACATTTCCTTCAGAAATAAGCCTCTCCTACGATGTTGTTTTTGCCAACTAAGAGTAAAGAAAGAAATTCTTTTTTGTGTCTACTAATAAATTGTATCTATTAGGTTTGATTTTGAAACAGCATATGATATTGCAAAACATTCTTAAACTATTAAAATATAGAAGTTTAAAAAATGATTCTTTTCTAATGTTACGTTTAAACAAATTCTTCTAAGAATATGTTGAATTCCTAAAAAAATAGCAATTCTTAAAATGAGCTTATTTTAAAAAATAATGTCATTACCAATGACATTAGTTAAGATGAGGCCATGCATTAGTAAGGTGACTTCGATGAGATGGTCCTGGCTTCCTGAAAAGGGGGGGGTCCTGAAAAAGGGGTCCTTCCTGAAAAAGACAGGGGGTCACAGACAGAAGGTCATATGATGAAGAGGCAGAGAGTGGACCTATGCAGTTGCTAGGCAGGGACTGTGTAGATTGCTGGCAAGACAGTAGCAGGAGGAAGAAGGAAAGATCCGTCTGCAGGTGTCAGAGGGAACATGGGACTACCTATGGAGCTTGGAGGACCTGCCCCCTGAACTGTGAGACTATACACACCTGTAACTTTAGACCTCCCAGTGTGTGGTCCATTGTGTACAAGTTTTCCGGTGTAGAAAACTAGTACAGCAGTCAATATGAAAACTCTCTGAATTCTGTTGCAATTCTTTCATCTTGGCCTTTCATGTTCCCATGAGTGTGATCATATTATTGCTCATGTTTCTAAACTTTATGACCATAATTATCACTTACAGTTAAAATAATGAATTAATTTTCCATCTTTAGAAAACATAACTAGTTTATATAAGCACTGATTACTAGGTCTTACTAAAATTAAAAGTAGTAAAGCAGAGCTGTAGCTTTTATATTATTTG